TTGATGGATTAAGTAATTAAGCGATTTCTCGCTGCCTGAGCGTCCCATTGGGATCGCTATACATACTTATACTTTTCAATTTCCAAATATTTGTTCCACTTTTTTCTTGATTTTTATTTTTTGTTTTGCGGTTTTGGCCTTTTGTGAGCCAAATGAAAATGTTTAAGTATTTCGTGTGCGCTCCGTTTTGTTATTGTTGCTAGTGATTGGACTGGCCTTGTATCGCCGCGAGTATCTCAAAGATAGTTCGAGCTGTGACGTAGGCGATGCCAGACAGGGACGGCGCTACCGGGCCAGAAAGAGAGGGGGCGAAGGACAGCGAGTGATTGATCGGCAATCGATGGGATCAGAAAGTGAGCTAAGGCGCTAAGAACAAATTTCACTCGAGGGAAAAGCAGAGAAAGTGGACTGAATAAAGGCATCGAAAGAAAAAATAAACATGATATTAACAAGATATTTAAGACAAATATTTTATAATTGTTTTTGTTTTTTGGCAAGCAATAGATTTCTTAAGAATGACCTAAAATCAGAATGTCAATGATCTCTAGATTGTCTTTTTCTATATTCAATAAATAATAAAGTTTATTGATTGTATAATTTATAATAACATGAACAAAATAAACAATTTCCGTAATATTACCTATTTAGCTTGCATTTATAATTAGTTTTCAAAGCATTCTCTTTCAAACAAATCTTAATTTGAAGATCTTTAAACCAGATTTATTGTTATTAGGCAGCTCCCCCCATTTTTCATCGATCGAGAATAAATATAAATTAAATTTCTGTGTGTCGCTATGGGTTTCCCACTCCCTCCTCCCTATTTTCCGCATTTTCCGCCACCTGATCTATTCCCAAACTGTCATCGCTAATTGCTGGCACCGCTTAAAGGAGATTGATTGTGTCATGGATGCCATTTCCATTTCGCCTCCCCTTTTTTCCTGTTTTCCTCTCGTTTCCCACACCCGTGGTGGAAATCGGTGACGTCGCCGTCCATATGGCGTATATAGGTATATATAGATCGAGTCGCACATACATATAAAAATATAGAGGCGTTGCTGGTCGGTGCGACGATTGCACAATATATCTTCCCGCTAACAATGTACAAATATTAAATGTATATTTTTATCACACTTTGTTTTGGGGCGGGGAAAATCGGGGGAGCTTTTCTCGGTTAGTGTCACAGAGCGATTATAGAGACGTTCTAGTCACCCAAATTCCTATAAATACATTTATCATGGTATTCTCCCTGCTTAATGACGCGTAGACGCGTTTCTATAATTTACACTTTCCCCCAATTTTCGTTGCACGATTTATTAATAACAGAAAACAAAACGAGAAATAGAAAAATAGTGCCGGCAATCGTGGATCATTGATTTTCGAGAGCATTTCGGTTGAGGGGTATTTACACACGAAAAGGAAAGAACAAATAGCTGCAAATTTGTTTTCCCAAAAATGTACTCCATTTTTTGTGACGGTGTAGATGTACACCTCAGATGATTGGCTTTTTAGAAAAAACACATTAAATTCGACTGGCCCAATTACCATAAATCCACGATTATTATGGACCAACTATATAGATCTAATGGCCAGATCGGTCATTAACAATGCAGCAATAAAAATTGAAAGACCTGCAGACATCAATTTCCATCATTTCCATACGATCGATCCGGCCTTTCTTTCATTCTTCTTTTCGATATGTCAAAAATTGGCATTTCCCAGCTCCTCAGCCCGACTTTCCCCGACTTCTCCATCCATATTCCTGCGCCCGGCATGTCTAGATATTTATTGAAAAGGCGCAGACAAACATAAAAGTGAAATAATATTTCTGGCCAGATGCCAGGCAACTGCTGAAACAGAAAGCCATGGATATGCCAGTGGGAATCGGGAACTGGGAACTGGGAACTGGGAACATAGGGAATATGGCCAAAGGTTCTCGGAGTGGGAACTGTTTATATTTGACTTATGCGCGGGTATTTTTGGTCTCCCCTCGATTTTTGAACAGAAATAAAGGAGGGGCCGTCGCCTGGGGGAGTGACAGATCGGATCAGATGGGATCAGACACTTCCTAGGTGATTCCTTCGCCAAACAGTGGGTAATCCATATTAAACTAAGAAAATAGGCTATTAGCGTTCATTTTCTGATTTCTTTAAATCAATTAACATACCCAATTTAACATTAAAGAGTTATTTTTAAAGGAATACAATTTGAAATAATTTAAGAGAAGAATATTACCAAATATCTAGCTGATTTTAATTGCTTGAAAATGTATTGTGAGAAAGCAAACCTTGAATTTAAAAATGTTTATTTGAATATTTCAAATGCAATTTGTATTTATTGTGGCATTAAAATAGGTAATGTCTCTTAAATACTAACTTGTTTGAATGTAAAGTCACCTGAAATATCCTTCTTTAAATAGAGAAATAGTGAGGTTGATCTCGGGAAGCCTTTTATTTGGTATCCATTCATTTTGACCACTGTGCCTGGAGTCTGCAGGCCCATGAAGAATTCTTCTGAGTCGCCTCTTTTGCCCTCTGGCTTTCGCTTTGATTGTTGCTCTTCTGCTGCAGTTGCATTTACGCGATGCTATTGCGATTTGAACGCTTGCCAAATTGCTTTCCACACACGCACAGAGGGAAAGCGGAAAAGCGAGAGGGCGGGTGTAAAATGTGGGGAGGCCACCCTTCTTTTCTCTTCCTCATTTGGGCTGTCGTCGGAGAAATGCAATTGGCGATTGTATACACAAAAGGGCAGCCTGAGATGATGGAGGCCAAAGCAAATCAAACGCATCATTTGACTTCCGGCAGGGCGTGGCACCAGACTTCTGCCCAAAACAGCAGCTGAATTCAGAACAATAGCAACTTTTAATCATCTTAACATATGAGCCAGCACTTGTGGCAAAATCATAGCCTAGAATACACATCGTAGTCAAACTAAAACATTTTTAAGTTATTTTAATATTAATATATATTATGTTATATTTCCAAAGTTTACAAAATACATAATCACACAGCGCTGAACTATCTAAAAATATTATTAAATAATTTTTAAAATGTTTAATAGTTCTTACGAATTAAATATTAAATATTATTTTATTGCAAAGGGAAACCTTCTTATAAAAGTTTCTCAATGGTGCTAAACGTGACATTCAAATTTAATAAAAAATGTCAAGACCAAAATGTTGATCATTGAAAAAAAATAATGTTGAGGGTAAATTATACAATGCAAAATATTTGTTCAATTTACAACATTTTTGGACTCAACACTTGTTTTTTTTTCTGTGACTAGGTTAATTTAAATTCCACACAAAAGTGGAATCCCAGATCAAGTCAGATATTGTATGTCATTAGTTTGTCCCTACAATTGCGACCGCCTGTGTTCATTTATAACGATTGCCGTCATTAGCCGATGGAATGTGCTGCAGATGTTGTTCGGGCCAATTAAAGCCAAATGCCAACGACAATGGCGAATAGTTTGGAACTGCAGCCCCCGGAAGGCTGAAAGACCAAACGCCAGGGAATCGTAAGATCGTCGAAATGCAAAATTTTGGGGCACGATCCCCAGCGCGTGTGGTGAAATATGCGGCAGTGGAAATTCGCTGGCCAAGATTGACGGACAGCCGCCAGTCGGGCGCCCACTAAACAAACTGAACTCTCACCTCGCAGGGGAAATGGGAAATGGGAAAGGCGACAGACATGGGGATTACCACCTGCCAGGGACTTGGACTCAAACTCAAGATCACTATGATGGGGCGACATTGTCATGTGCCAAAGCAAACACGCCGTACACAATTCGCACAGCCGCCATCCACAATCCCCAATCCCCAGCTGTCTGAAGATGGTCCGAGTATTCGAATCCCCGGCTAATTTACGATACAAGTTATTATTAATTTGTCATCGGGTCGGGCATTAAAATCCCCCCGACAAAACAAAATGCAGACGGACTTATAACGAGGAGATGTCGTGATTTTGGCACTCCCAAATACCCTGTGCCATTGTTTATTTGACTTAATGTCATGGATATAAAACTATATATACCCGTGCTATTGTTTTTCTTATTTAATGTCATGATATTCACTATATAGTTTGCTAGGATTTCTATGATGTTGTATTAATAGTACAAAAAATACAATCTAATACTCGGTTAAGAGTAAAAGATCATATATATGATTAACTTAATTTACTAGCTATTCAATAATATATAAGAATATTAGTACTTATGCAGTACGGATTTAAATCATGTATTTAGTTTGTCAAAACTATTAAAAATTCTTATTAATGATACAAAAAAATCAGTCTACATTATGGTTATTGGGTAATTGTTTCCTTATATTGCCTTTTGAATTTTTTAAAATAAATAATCAAATTATTGAAAATATAGTAACTATAATGATTTGGAAATATAGCTACTAATATATTATGAAAATTACCTATGATTATTACAAGTTTGCAATGCCATCTAGGATTCATTTGCTATCCTCACCAATTTAATAGTCTTGATATGCAATGAATATACCTCGTCACTGGCCAATTAATGGGTACAATTAAGCAAGAATTCGTGTCTGCCTGTCTGTCTTTCGATCGTCCGATATTGTGGTAGGTAAGCCCTAATGGTCCATAGACCATAGACCATGGACCATGGCTAATTGACAAGGGCCCAGAGAAATAGAATGGAATGCAATGGAGTGGAATTAGCAAAGACAATAATGTCGCTGGGGAAGGTCAGTCACTAATGCCCCAGCTATATGCTATATGCTATATGCTATATGGCATTGTTCTCGGCTGGAATCGGGGGTCCACAATCCACAATCTACAATCTAGAAAAACAGCTGGCGAATGTCACTTGTCAGGGGTATTTTTCTCGCTTTTACGACAGTTCCAATGCGACATCACGCCCACACGGGACTCACCTTTGCAGATCTCTATAAATACGTATACACATGGTACTATACTATACCATACCATACCATACCACTATATCTGTTCTCTATTCGCTTTTTGCAGGCAATCTTATTTTATACACCAAGATGGCTGTGGAAATCTTGGGAGGGTGGCAAGATTCATGCGCTCATCATGGACTTAGACATAGGCATTTGTTCCGAAGCCGAGAAAAAACAAAAAAAGAAATTACTTTTAGATTATTTGTGGGAAAATTTAAGGTAAGTACGCGTCGAATGGAACAAGCACTGCAAATGGCCAAATGCGTTTTACAACAGTTTTTCAAACGGTCTATTTTGGTAAACTCAATCAAAACTAAAATCGAAATTAAATATTTGTTTATTCATTTGTTTATATATGGCTAACTTATACTTAAAACTCATCTAAAATTTAAAGAAGTGTCTGATTAGAAGAACTTTTGTTAATACAACCATATTTGCTATTTAACAAAAATAAAAATTAATGTTAAAATTACTTCAAAGTTTGGGGTTTTCTTCCAAGTAATATAAATTACCACAATCCTTGTTTAACTTTACCAACGTAAAGTGTCGAGTTTCCCAGAATGAACTCATTTATTAAGTGGATTCTTAATTATTTAGAATAACATTTAGAGAGTACAATGCACCTGAACTCACCTTTGTATACGATTTCCCCGAAGAGTGATTTCCGGGCATTGGGGATCCGTAATTAACAAAGAATTCTCCGGAAATCGACTGTGACTCATGGACAAAGTTCTCCAGAGACAATAGAAACGCGGACAAATGTTTTGGCATTTGCAAGGCTTGCAGATATTTTTATTTACCTCTGAATCACAGCTAATTGCCTTACTTACCCCGACTTTCATTCGCAGATATCACAATTGGTGGGCGTACAGATATTACGTGTGTGAGCTGCTCGCCCTTATAAATGTGATAGGTGAGTAGTAGTGCACGGAAAAAAAACAATATATTTATTTAGTAATATTAAACCGTTGTGTTTTGATATGGTTATCGTCCTAAAGGACTTTAAGGATCTCAGCTCATATCATTTTAGGCTGCCAGCATATTATTTTGACCTTAGCTCATCTATGTTTTTGAGTCTAAAAGGTCAAATTGATATCAAACATTGAAGAATGCTAAAGTCGAGTGTCTTGACAGGGAGTTATCTGGTACTCATATTAAGAAATACTACAAATACTTTGTAAATCTAAATTTGTAATACCTTAAAGCAGGTTCTTTTACCAGTAAAATGAGTTTTGACCCAATTAAAACATCTGAGTGGTAACCTATAATATATATATAATTACCATTTAAAGAAATATAAAGTATAGATCACTTTCTAGTGTTTTTTTTCGGTGCATTTGGCAATCTTTGGACCTATCCAGGTGCCAGTGAGATCGGTAAACAATGTTTCGGGGCTAACAAAACGAATTCTTGGGACGGGGGCAACATAAATTCGACATTCATTAACATTCCCCGTTCGATTTTACGCCGAAAAATCAATGACGAATTTTTATCGACTGACCGCCCCGCATCAAAATAAACAAAGACACCCCGATTTCTGGTCCCCTTCGTGGGGCGTACGCGCGCTGAAATCCGAAATCTGACAAAATAATGAACTGTCAGAAAACATGGAAAATAAACAATAATAATGCGAGTAATACACGTTTATAAAATGGCTGACATCGCGTTCGAAAAGTGCGAGGGGCGATCGGTTGGGAAATGCGGGCCTAATTGGCCAGAAATTCGAAATGGGTCAATTAGCCAGCAGGGGAAAGTGGAAATACCAATACGAGAATGTAAATGGAAAATCGGGGGCATTTTCCATGATTGAAAGGTGAGGCGCCATGAAAATGCATTTACTGGTTTAACCACAAATAAATACTTTTTCTGAAGATTTTCAAAACCATATATTTATTTACCATTTTGGGTATTACTTATTTATTTTGTACATTGTTTTAAAGAGTTATTCCCAATTTCAATGCAAATTATTTATGTGTTGAAGGTCATATTTTACTGGTAATTGAATCTACTTTTACTCTGCAATAAAAGTGATCTACGTGATTGGTAATAAAAACAAAATGTGAAAAATTCTTAAGCTTAAGTTTTAATTTCCTAAATTGAGTACTGCCGAGGTCCTCGACTATAGCTTTCTTGCAGGATAATGTACATTCGGTCGGGATGTAGAAATATGTGTCAGTGGAATCAGGCTTTTACCTCTGTATATGAAAAAGAAAAACCCATCTATCTAGCCTATCTAGTTGCCAAATAAGTAATTTTAAATGTAATTGAGAGCCGTTCAGCAAAAAGCTTCTTCATTGAATAGTTCACTTTCGGCCACTCATTGGTTTATTATGAAAAGTTTATAATGCAAATAATTATGCCAGCAATAATTGGGCAGAAAGTGCTCGTTAAAAAGTTTTTAGTGCGCCTTTTGGGCAGCATAAATCCAATGGTTATTCCTTTATTGTTCTCTCGATAAAACCAATGAAATGCGCTTCAGTCCGCCATTAAAATTAACGTACCTTGGGGCATTGTTTGTTCATTGACCTCCATCTCCATCACAATTAGCCGCAATTAGCACGGGCAATTGATGGATTTCGATTCCAAATCAGATTCAGATTCCGATTCCGATTTCGGATCCGATCGCGGTCTATCTGCCATAATTAATGGGGCGTTCGGGTGTGGGTGAGTTGTTATTGCGAAGTAAATCGATTCATCCCCGCCTCGTTAACCGCCGATCGATCAAGCGGATCCGATCGCATCGGATTGGATCGGGAAAAGTCCGTACCGCTTTGCCGCCACCGTTCCGATTCGAAACACCGAATTTTCCAAAAGAGCACCTATGCACCCATGCACTCATGCACAGAAAAACGGGGAAATGGAAAATGGAAATGGTGGAAAATCGGATGGCAAAGAGCCCATCAATCCGGGGTCCGATAAACAGATAGTCAAGATAGATAAACCGAACGAACGAAAAGTGTATCTCTGTATCTTTTGGTGCTGATTTGTATCTTTTTTGTGGTTCCTTTGCAGGTCAAATGTTTCTTATGAATCGATTTTTCGATGGCGAATTTATGACATTTGGCCTGGATGTGATAGATTATATGGAGACCGATCAGGAAGATCGCATGGATCCGATGATTTACATATTTCCCAGAATGACCAAATGTACATTTTTTAAATATGGTTCAAGTGGGGAGGTGAGTAACGAATGCAGCGCTCTACAAACCCAAGACTCAAATAATAATTGAATCTGTTCTTCTAGGTGGAGAAACACGACGCCATTTGCATTTTACCATTAAACGTTGTTAATGAGAAGATTTACATTTTCCTTTGGTTTTGGTTTATATTATTAACGTTTCTCACATTATTAACGCTAATATACAGGGTGGTTATTATATTCTCACCTCGAATGAGGGTCTACTTATTTCGTATGCGATTTAGGTGAGTCATAGACACCAGGGATACTCACTAGAGATGATATGGGGATGGTATTTAGGAAAAATGAAAGAAACTAAATTGTTATGTCTTTATATACTATTATTTCTATAGAGATAATTACAAATCTGAAATCTAGAGTGTTATTGAGAGGTATTATCCTTTCCTTCATTATCGATATTTATCGAAATTTGGTTATCGATGAATGACAAGAGGTTTTTTCATCCTTTTTCGATGAAACGACATGTCAAAAGTAATAGGAATATTTATTAATATTTAATATTTATCCCCTTATCAAACCTAGTGATTGCCCAAGCCGTACAAATTTTTAAAAAACACATTTACTTATCCATATTTTCCAATTGCAGGTTAGTGCGTCGTGACGCTATTGAAATAATCGTTCGTCGTTCGAAGATGGGCGATTGGTTTTTGTTGTATTTACTAGGTGAAAACATAGATACAGTTATATTTCGTGATGTTGTACAGGACTTAGCGAATCGTTTAGGACATAACCAACACCACAGGGTGCCTGGCTTAAAAGGTGAAATACAGGATGCATGATATTGGGAGTATTAGAAACAATACAAAATGCAATTTGTCGTCTCCATTTGAAAACCATCGAAATCAACAATGTCAACAACAAAAACAAGACTAAGTAAAACGAAAAATTACAACCACAAAGGAATCTAGAGATCTTCGCAGCAGCCGCTTCATTAACAAACTCAACACACCGCTAAAAAATCTTAAAAAAAAAACGTATCTCAAAAATACAACCAAAAAAACTATCGTCAGCGCAGTCAGTCATAAATCAGCATTTTCAACCATGGAGACCATGATCGATAGCCGGCTTGTCTATCGATAGTCGATACAGAACACACATCCAACCACAGGGCATAGAGCGAACTAAAAAACTAAAAAAGGAAGCGGACGGAAGCAGGGAGAAATATGGAGAAAATAGGAAAACATCTAAACAACCACGCAACGAAAGGAATATTTGAAATCTCAGTGTCAATCAATTAAAGTAACGAGAAAATGGATAATGGATGAAAGGAGAGAAATAAGGAGGAAGGAAGTCCTGCGACTTCCGGACAGGATTCCCAAGCCGGTGGCACGTAGCGCCTGCCGCTGGCCAGGGGTCACAAGGTCACAAGGTCACAAGTCACAAGGGATCGCTTGGGAAATCAGCGATCAGCGACCCATAGAAAAGTTGCCCCCAAGGACAAGGTCAAAGTGTGAGAAGAACAACAGCCAACACAGAACAACAACAGCAGCCAAATGGACAGCGCCGGAAACGGAAACGGAAACAGACACGGACACCCTCACATACGCACACACACACACACACACAAACGCAAACACACAGACGACATACACACGCTTACAGCGAAATCACTCATACGCCCCGTAGAACACACACATCGCACTTTGCTTGTCATGCAGCGTTAACTAAACCAAACATCAACAAAGTCGAGACGACGCCCGCGGAAAATTGCATTTCTGTATTAACCCCAAGAAGAGAAGAAGAAAGCAGGAGAATTCGAGAAGATCAGCATCACTTTCACCGAGGAAAAGCAGGAGTATACCACACCGAAACGATGCAAAGAACAACAACCACAACCACAACAACAACACAACAGGCTGGGGAAAAGCATCCCTGCCGGAAAAACAAACGAAAAGCAGCAAAAGAAAGTCAAGAAAATCGCAAGTGGAAATCGCAGAGAAGATTAACAGTTTAATTAAATTAAATTCAATTCAATTAAATTACTTATTACAATGATATCTTGAAGTGTTCATGTATTCGAATGTAGGTTAACTAAGTCAAGCATACAAATAATTCTACATATATAATATATATATTATATATATATATAAACAATTTTTTTTTCTAACTCTAAGCATTTGTATTACCCGCTAAACAAATGAACAACAAAACAAAACAAAACGAAATGAACAAAAAAAAAAAACAAGAAAAAACAACCAAAAAAAAGCAAACTGAAAACAGAAAACAGAATTTTTTGTATACAGAAAAGAAAGAAAATTGATAAGCGAAATGAGCAGATAGAGAAATAATGATAATGAAAAAAAAACAAAAACAAAAAAACCGAGACGAAACGAACAGAAAATATCAGTAAATATCAAAGAAAGTTCAGAAAATACCATACCGAATACCGAAAACCGAAACAAAAGATACATTTACATAGTTTAATTAGAAGAAACTATAGCGCGCATCATTATATAACCGAAAAAACCGAAAGCCGACCGAACAGAACGCAACTCCCACAACAAAGACAGACAGACGGAAACGGAAATGTTTTAAGCTCACATACAAACACACTCCCCACACACCAACCCACACACACACACAGACACACTCGTATATAGCATGTAAAGCATATATATATATATATAAATATATGTAATTATCGATCGATCATTCAGCAGAAGAGGGCAGCCAACATTCGCAGCATAAATCAATTAACTCCACTAATAATAGAGCATACTCAACTCTCTCTCTACGATAATACGCCTAGTACTCAAGCGGAAAATGCGAAAATTCCCCAGGAAAATCGGGCGGAACACTCACACGCTTTGCCACATGAATCAAGTGTAAACATAACGATAATAATATAATACCGCTAGCGAATAAAGTCCCAAGCATTGAGGGTTCGACAATTCCCATCCCCCCCCCCAAACCACACCCCCCATCCACCTCGGGTCAATGGGCATTGCAGATGGGCCTACGGTGAAGCCTTCCTATGACAGCCCCTGCCGAAAGTAACCAGTCACCCATCCACGACTTCATCATGTGCTACAAATCGTAATATCCGTCCAGAAAACCTTTTGAAGCGCACTCTCCGTTGAGAGATCCCGAATTCTCTCTCTTTTTTTCCCGACTTCCGTATGTCCCCAGAAGAAATGGACCAAAGAACCAGTCACACAGATGCCTATCCCCCCTCCCCCCACGTACTTCCCCATCTCTCAAAGGACGACCAAAACACAGCCAGAAAAAGCCAAGCCAGAGATGCAAATCTAACAACAAATGTCACTGCCAACCGAAACAGTTAAAGTAAAATCAAGTTAAAATAGTTAAATGACGGAGGGGCTTCACACTAAGGAAGGCATGACCATGGGCTCGACTGCAATGCCGCAAGTAGGAGGGAAAAGCGAAAGGAATTAAACCCCGAAAATTAAGATTGTTCCTTGTCTCAGAATCAGGAATTGCCGATATGGACCTGCTCAAAACCTCACTCCTTTCGGGAATTACTTTGGATTCAAATCATCTCATTTGAGTGCTTTTTTCCGTCTACTCACACTACTCAGCATACTCAAAGACGCATTACAATTTAGAGAAGTGGGAGGAGAAGTGGGTGTAAGGTTGAAGCGAAAAAACAATAAATGTAACAATAAATGGTAATAAGTAATTTTAGCGTATTTTTTTTTTAACAGCTTATAGCCAACTAAGTGAAGTAATTGTAATTCTAGTTCAAACTGAACCATTTTTGTCTGCGTATTTTTTTTTTGTCGTGGATTCGTAGGCTAAGACACACACACACATACACACACATACAGCCACAAACATCACCCATACACACACACGCAGCCACGCAATAAGAGAAACGGTAAACGAAAAGCAAATGTATAAATATCGAGGATACTTACAATGTAATTATAGGGGGGCGAATAAGAAGGAATACCATACCAAAACGTAAGCATATTACAAGGAAATTGCCATTAGTCGATAGTGTTAAAGCGATACGTATATGATCTACATGCTAGGCTAACGAAAAAGAAAACCAAAAAGGAAGGAAACCCAGAATACTTAGTGTAGCTCAAGATGGAATCTCTCGTAACTCGTAACTCGTAAATCGTAAATCCAACTAAAAGCAATTGTAAAATATCGTAACAGATCCTGGGGACGATCGAACAAACAAACAAAAGCAAAAGCAAACGAAACAAAAACGCAAGACTTTATTTTTCAAAGTGTTTGCGGCAATATATTAACTCGAAGAATTGTACTAGCTGAATCTAGAGGTTAAGAAGGACATTTCATAGACGCAATCCTAGAAGCAATAAGCACTGTCGGAAACGGAAACGAGAACAAAAACAAAAACGGAAGCGGAAGCAGGCAGAGCTAACGGTAACATCGATGACTTTTCACCACGTTTCACCACCTCCGGTGCAGTTCTGTCCACTTCTCACCACACAGCACGGCACTTCTCTCTCTCTCTCTCTCTCTCTATCTCACCTACTCACTCTTTTATTCCCTCTCTTTCCCACTGAAAAAAGTATTTTGTTTAACTGCCTTCAGGATTAATAGACTGTTTCCACTAGTACAAAAACTAAAATTACCGTGAAAAGTCAATGTTTTATTAGTAGCATTCACTTTAATTCGGAAAATAACAGTGTAAATGTCAATATAACAGTGTTGGTATATATGAATATCTTTGATATTTTGCAATGTAAGAGTGGAAACAGGCTATAAATCTTGTATATTCGATTTAAAAGAAACTGAATCTGTAAGAACATTATAAAATTCTGTTTAAAATATTGTATTTGCTTTTCAGTGCCCCAAAATCTCAATTAATGTTTGTGTTTGTTTGTTCATTTGTTTGTCTGTTTGTTTGTTTGTTCCCGGTCTGAATTTGGTTTCTGCCATATTGTTTGTGTATAATTATTATGTATTCTTTGGTGGCTAAGTTAAGGTTTTAGTTCTGTAACTTCTACCGTACTTTCTCATTCATTTGTTCTTTCGTGCAATAAAAACGAGACTTGTATACATATCATTGTTTATTTGGTTTTATTTTGGGGTTGCCTTGCAGATTCTCCACCCACCTGTTTTCCCATTATCTCCTTCTCCCTCTCTTTCCATTTCTCTCTCTCTATCTTTATCCCTGTCTCTATCTCTCTTTCTCAGCACCCGCACGAAAAAGCGAAGACGAAAGTCAATTTCTCACGGCTCTAAAAACGCAATGAAATGAACCAAGAAATCGAATGAACTAAAAGCAACAATTAGTGAAGCATATTGGTGAAATACTAGTAACTTATATTTTAAATCGAATTAGTGAGTGATTAGCGCTACGGTAACGATAAAATACAATTTAGTTGAATTCCCTAGCAGAATCGAATCGAATCGAGTAGTGAGAACTTTTTATTAGGAAGCGAAAGCGTTTTTTAAATTGTATATTAATCGAATCAAAATTGTAAAGAACAACTAAACAAGCATACAAATTGAAACTGCCAATTCACATTCTCAGACAAATTTTTACGAAGCTAAAGCTGAAAAACCAAAAACCTAAGAACACCCAATTATTAGCACTAAGCGAAAATATACAAAATTGCTGAATATTACCGACAAGCGAAACAAAAATCGAACTCGTATCTAGATCATTAACTAGGCCCACGACTTTGACTTTGACTCTGACCCTCCTTCGTTTCGTTTCCCCCGATTTTCGATTTCCGATAGCCAATATATCCGATAGCCGATAGTCGGTAGTCGACGATCGACGGTCGACTGTCGATAGTCAATAGTCGATGTCCGATATCGGATTGCGGTTCAGGCTTACTTTAGGCACTTAGCGTAAATATCAATTTGTGTGTGTGTGAACAAATAGCAGACAATAATTAGTGAAGGAAACTTTTTAGGCGAGATCGAGGGTCCAGGACTGAAATGTCGAGGGAAAAGCAGTTTTCCTGGACTAAGGGGGCGTGGCTGTGGGATTTTCACGAGCAGCTAATTTATTGTCTTCCAACTTAGCATAAATATTTGAGTAGCTTAGTCAAAATACTTTGTTTCCCAACTGGAATATCGTGAGTTGCAGCTTAAATGTGATTTATTCTCATTTCCCATAAGTTTCTTATCCGTTGTTACCAATATTGTCTAAACGAATGCCACGCCCCCAAGATCTCAAAGGCTTGAAAATGATAGAAAGAGATTTATTTCGTTGGTGGCCCAAAGTTCAGCAGCAAAGTTAGCGAGCAGCAGCATTTGATGGAGTGTATAGGAAAACTGCCTTAAAGTGATTTTCAAGTGAGACCGATCGATCAACCAGCAAACCGTGTATATATATTATATAGACGCCGAGTCGGTGGGAATTTTTTTTACTAAAACAACCTACGAGTAAGCCTAACTTTTAACACAAGAACAAACAACCACACACACGATCTGTATATAGCCGACATACACCCCTGCATATATATATATATACAAGCATATACCTATATATAAAGTGTTTTATAACGAAGTGGATTAGTTGGTAACCGTAGAGCGAGACATCTTTAGCAAAATTACACCTAAGTTTTCCAGATTCAGATGACTTTTTAACCAGACAAAAGCGAAAGGCAAAAGCAGCAGGCTGGCAGGTAGACAAATTATGAAATTATAAAATTATGAAATTATAAAATTATGAAATTATAAAATTATTAAATTATGAAATTATGTAGAAAAGCAGTCAGAGTAAGGAACTATTTGTATTTCAACTTGTTTTCCAGGAGATCCTAAGTTTAGTCAAACGTAAAGTAATGTAAATGATAAAACGAAACAAACGTATGTAAAATAATTGCATAAATAATTTCAAATATATTCGCCGATTGCCTTCAACTAGAGGAATTTTGATTACACTTAATAACGAATAACGAATACTAAATAATTAATAATAATTAAACAATGCATTGAATAATTATACAAAACAAAAGGTAAAAACAACTATAAATATATGGAAAAGTGGGTAGGAGAAGTAGGAGAAGCAAACGCAGAAAAGCAGACGCAAACAGAGAACAACAAATCTACACAAAAATGAAATTCAAAAAGAACTGAAGTAAAAACAAAGATTTTAAAGCAGTAACAAATGGCAAACAAAAGAGAACAAAAGAAAAAATAAAAAACAAGATAAAGCATTCATATTTGTACACTAAAGACCCGTTAAGGAGTACGCAACTTATACACGCAATATTAGACTAAACCGACTTCGATAACCGATAAACGATAGATCCCCAGGCCCCAGCACCGAAGGAGAGGGTCCCCGAAAAACCCCATCTTCAGCTGCTTCAAACAAATTGATTACTACTTTTTTTTGTTTGTTAACTAGAGACACTCGCACATATCCAACGAAAGACGTCGATTACTTTCCATCCCCATTCCTATCGAAAGACCACCACCCCTAGATACGCACACCCCAGAGAATCGAAAGCAAAATCGATAGCGAAATCGAACTCGAAATCACAACCACAATTACGATAACAATTACAATGGCCACCACAACCACAGATGCACAACCACTGGAGCGAAGGACATGCGAATTCAAAAAGCGGATATAGAGCTGAAAGGAGTAGATCGAATCTAGTGAATACTTTTAGGCGTTAAGCGTACTTCTAGTTTGTATCTCTTATATACACACAGATATATCTAGGTATATGGATATAGCATAATTATACAGATATACAGACCTATGGATAACTCAAATACCGCATACAACTAGCCAGTGGAACGGAGTCGAGCGCAAATCGCAGAAGATCGATAACAATCGATCATTATCGATTGAGGAGTAGATCCAATCTTTTTTTTTGTAATTGTACTTGTATGGTAAATGCTAACGGTAAAGGTAATGGTAAAAGGTAAAAGGTAAACGGTAATGGACATTTAACTAGTTATAACGTGCAGTTATCGTAATTTATGATTATCGATTAT